CTGCTGAGGCTTAAGGCTGTTCTATATAAGAATGCTATATTCTAAGATTGGTCTAACCATGGTAATATAAAGCTAACCTCAGAATCAAAAATGACTCCCAAGTCCCAGATTTCACTAATAGCTTCCAAGAAATGGTTGTTAATACTATATCAGAATTTTATTTGGAGAATGTTATCTGTTTAAGTGTTTACATTTATCTTTATTCAATAACATAATATTATCACTGCACCAGTTTGATAATATCGCCAGGACAGATTGTTTAGCAATCAGCAAAATTGTTAACTTAAATAAATAATTTAAGATCACCAGCAAAGAATAAAAATCTTACAGAATCGAGTGACAGTGGCAGATCGTTTGCAAATAATAAAAATAAAATAGAAGCACTATGGGTACCTTGTGGAACTCCAGAAGGAATAGAAATAGGATCAGATATAAAACCGTTGACTAAGATTCTCTGAGTACGATTTAATAAGTACGAAGCTAACCAAACTATGAAGAGGGCCGTATATACCATAAATTTATGTTGACGAGTTGATTCGAAAAACTCATGTACTATTGCAAATGAGCCGAACCAAGATTTTTCGAAAATTTGAATTTGATAATGAAATTTTTTAGATACATAAAATGTATTTCTAAAACTGTCATTTTTAATTTATCGAATTTGGAAAACTTCTTGGAATTCTTGAAGAAATAAAGCCGAAAGTAAGTTTTACCAGTTGAAGTCTACAAGAAAATGTCTTTAGGTAATTTCCGAATCATGTTCGAAATATTCTCAAAAAAATTATACGGGGGGATTAAGATTTTTAAAAAGTGGCCTAAAAATCCTCGAAAAATTCTGAGATATACTCCTAAATCTTGACAAGTTGATTCGAAAAACACAAACAATTTTTGGCCTCGGACCAAAATTTTCGTGAAATTCGTTTTGATAATGATTTTTTGAACCAAATTTTCACGCTGAAATTAATTAACAGCGGCGCGAAGTCACATTTGAATAATTTGAATTCGAAAAAAAAATGCAACAAAAAAAATTGTTAAACATAGGCCTTGTGCATGTTTAGTTGTTTCCTGAAGTTAATTCTTGCAGCTTTTTAATCGGCAAACATGTTGTTTGTAAATTCACAGTTCATGTTAGGATTTTAATCGTTAACTGGTTCTATTACACAATGTAACAGACATTTGCTAGGAGTTTCCATGAAATTCACTTAGTCAGGACTCGTTCGACTTTGTTTGTCTAATAATGAATAAGTTTCTGGATGCTAATACGTAAGTGTTACATTATAACACTTCTAAATTTCTCACGCAAGATCGCTAATAGTTCATTTACGGCAGTAAATTAACAAAATTCATCATATCGTAAACTGGGGGTTAAAATAATTTCTTACCTTAGGCAGTTATCATCGCTATTATTATCGTTATCATCATTACATCATCGAAGCATCTCCTCGCAACGTTAAAGATTGATTACATCACTGAGGCATTTCCTCGCAACGTTAAAGATTACTACATCACCGAGACGCTTTTTCCTCGCAACGCTGACTGGATATTTTGTATGTTTATTTATCATGTGTTTTGTTTGGGGTAAGCAGTTCAGGATATTATAAACTCTCAAAGCTAATTGTTTTAAGTAACCAATCACTTGGATCTATACATAATTTAATATAATATAAATTCTTTTTTCTTCTGTACAAAAGATGCAGATTAGAATAGAATTCAGGAGCGGTCGAGATGACGTAACGCTGTCGGCTTCTATACTTAACGGCCTGCACGTACGGCTTGTCCGTAATAGAAAATTGCTTTGCGGTAGAATCACCGTCGTGGAGGAGAACAGTAGCCCCAAACTCCGCTTGTGCTAGAACGCTCCTATGGGTATTTTTGTTGTGCTCTTGTTGACTGCCATAATTTTAAATTTGCCACCACACGTCTGGATGCAGATTTTGATTTGTTTTTATTAAATTTGTGTTATTCATTTATTTGCACTGATTCAGAACGTTTATTTGGATTTCATTTAAATTTCATCCCAAGTTCAATAAGTTTTTTTTTTGGAGCTGAACGCGATTGCGATTCGGTCTCCTCTGGGCAGCCTGAGGATAAGTCATGAGTCTCCCTCGCATGCAGCTTTTTTTTCTTTTTTTTTTTTGTCAGTGGACGAATAAATAATTTTGTGTCCTCCATAAATTTTGTGTTTTATTTAGCGTGACCTTGGGTCCACCATTTACATCTGAACCCATCCCTCCATTTTTCAAAAACACAACATAGGGTTCAATTTTGTTAAACGATCAGAGCCAAGGCCAAATTTTGAATTTTTGAATTTTTTGAGGGCTTTCATTTTTTTTTCACATGTCAATTTAAAACGGGATGCTTGGATTATCACAATGTACTTAATCAATGTCATTAACAACCAGTTTTCGGAGGAACTAATCTTCCTTCCTCTTATTTTACCTCCATGATCGAGACATTTTGTTAACTCTGAACATATAAGTAATAGGAAAATAGAAGTTAATCCCTAAATTCAGTTTTAAAAAATATACATCAATGCATTGGAAGTATGCAACCAATGTTACCTCAACAATACATTACATTACTTGATTTTGTAGAACAAGAAATTCCAAAGTAGATATTTAATTTCTTGTTTTTAGTTAAAACAGCATTTGTTTTATTTTTTTAATAGCGTTTATAGAGTACAGGCTGATTCAGCGTAAATGACGAATCTGATTTGTCCCTATCCCTATAGGCACTCCAAAATACATTTTTCTCTTGTTCCTTGATTCATAGTAGAATTTAAAAAAATTAGCATTTTGGAAATTTGTTCGGGAACAGCTGCTAAATGATCTCAATTTTATCAGGAACATTTTATTTCGTGATGAGTTTAAATTTTCCAACAATGGGACTGTAAACAAACACAATTACATTACGCATAAGAAAATCCACGATGGATCTGTGAAACTCCTTTTCAGAGAATTATTTCCATCAACTTTGACCTACTTTAAACATCATCCGTTACAGTGACACTTCATTTTGACGTTTTTAAAACCACATACTTCGTGGATTTGTGATATTTTTGCAATTCTAGTGTTAATCCAGGAATAAATAAATAATGTATTTCGGGTTGCCGTTAACCACAAATCACATTCGTCATTTAGGCCGAGTCACCCTGTATATATTTTTTTAAGAGTCCACCAACGACACAGTTTCCTACAAAAATATAGGCGGCAACGTGATGCTAGATGCATCGAATATTTTTTACACTTATGTAAAACATTTTTTTTAATTTCTACTAATAAAATGCTCATTTTGTATGTTAAATCTCGCTATTAAAACAATAGTTAAATCGCAAGGATGAATAAAATGTTTATAGCAACACTTTATTCACACTGTCATTAACAACAAATCGTGTATGATACACGTGAATAATAGTAGATTGTTTTATTAGGATTAAAAGTGCCATTTTTTGCGACGAGCAAATTTTGCATTTGCGAGGCGGAGCGAAGCGAAGCCGAGCGGATGCAAAATTGCGAGTCAAAAACTGACTTTTAATCCGAATGAAACATACTACTTTTTCGCCAGCCAAAAAGTAAATCTCAAAAAAATTTTAACTTTTTAAGGCTAGGATTAAAAAAAAAATTAATGCTAGGATTAAAAAGGCAAAAATGACGTTGTTACTTTAGTAACGCAACTTTTTTTTACTCTCACAAAAACGTCAAGTTTTCCGTCCAAAATTGACGTTAAAAGTGACATCTTTTAAGACGGCTGGCGAAAACGAATTTTATCCACTCAAAAACATTATTACACTCAGCTTCGCCTCGTGTGCCAAACTGTTTTTTCGTTGGATAAAATTCACTTTTATTCACTTATACCATAAATAGCTATTTTGACAATAACTCAAACAAGTTGACATTTTTTTTTACTCACTAGTAGGACTTTTTATATTTGTCATAACAAAAAAAAAAGTATCCGTGACAATTATAGACAATATTCAGGGTAAGCCGATTATTCTTTATTATAACAAAAAAACCATAAGGGGTCTAGACGATTATAAACAAACCATATTATAAAAATTATATCCTATGTGATTTATTCGAAAAAAGGAAAGAAAATGATTATTTTTTGGGTTCATTTTTTGTAAAGAATGACTTCATTTATTTGACATATGCAAATACTTTCGTATTTGAACACAAATTCTTACTTGAGATATCTACTGCTTCACGTAAATTCTTCAAATAAATATGGAAAGGAAAATATATACGGTTATTTCACATAACATCACAGTACTAAAGTCTTTCGATGGCTCTTGGATACTGGTTGTAAGAAATTTTAATAAAAATGTATCTAAATGAATAAAATATTTTTTAAGATTGATGAACATGAATTTAAAAAACTAACATCTTGTATTACAGAAATCTGTAGATATTTTGTCCTATTTTTTCTGTTGTTGCAGTTATTTTCTATAATGTTTTAGGGTGACTTTTCATTATATCGTTGGAACGATGTTGTCTTTTTTTGTATCATTATGTGGATTCAAACTTTTAACAAGCAAGTGCATTTAATTTTACCGGTAGTTGAAAGCGCCATCTTCACGGCAGAAACTTCATACTTACCGCTCTAGTGCTCTCACATATAAAAGAAAACGTGTTGGCATCTCAAAACACATGGAAAAGCGACATCTAGGAGTGAATAGACGCTTACTTTTGTTTCCGCTTTTAAGAGTTAGTGGCGCTTTTAGAATAATGGAATCTTCAGTTTAGTCTGAGAACATGACAGCGTAGCTGTTTAAGCACGTTGGCGGTTTTATTAAACTTGGACTGTCTCTCTCCTGAATTATCTAACTTAATTAAAAAAAATAATAATAAGGATTTTATCTACGGCTTTGAAAAAAATACAAATCTGGTATTTGTTAAATAGTAATCTCTTTGCTCTGAACACAAAACACGCAATAAAAATTATTGAAATATATTTACAAGATCAATATCCTTGTGCCTAATACCAGAATAATAACAACAAAGAAAATTTGCAAACTGATTTTATATAAGTAGAATAAAATAAATTACATTTGCTGGGTAGAATTGCCATTCCAAGTATTATTTTCATCATCACTATCATTCTTATTTGACAGACGATGAACATTCCCTTGCCTTCTAATCACAGTAGTCTCCCCAGCCCTACGAATTTTTGGTTGAGTCCTACAACAAACCCCAAATTATTTCCACCAACTCCCAGTCCTCAACTACTACCTCGGTTCGTTACTCGCATCCGCCGCTCTCTTGTTCTGATTCTCGCTAGGATTCGGCGCCGGCCCCGTCCCAAAAACAAACGTCTTCAAATACCCCAAAAGCGTGAAAATCGGAGCAAACAGCGACCAGATAAACCCGGTCCAACCCCCCTCCGTGTTAGTCGAAACCGCGCCTCTGGTTATAGGCAAAATCAAGATAACAGCGGTCGGGACCAACCCCAGCTCCAACAAAGTCTGAGTTTTGTCGTCATCAGTGAACTCCCGTCTTGGAAATGTCGTCGACAGGGTATAGGTGCTGAAGGACAGATTCAAACTGGCTTTTATGTAGTTGTGGACGCTCTCCAGAGTGTCGGTGCTCGGAAAGTCGTTAGTGGACGTTTTACCATCGGGCATTCGGAACTGTAAACGCGCTACGTTGGTGTTCACCGGTCTCGGTGGTGTTGGGGCTGCGGGAGCCGGTTGGGGTGCCGCAGGTGGAGAAAATTTAGCCGCTCGTTCGGCCTTATCTTGGGCTATTTGTGCTAGGACTCGTTCTCGAGCTGCCTGGCTTTCGCGCTTTTCTTTTTCGCGTTCTTCTAAAACTTGCTTGAGTTCTTGGTCGTCTTGCCAACGTTTTAGTTGCTGGACGTTTTGGCCCATTTTGCGGCGTTCGATTTCTTGTTGGCGTTCTTTCTGTAAATGATAATTAGGTGGTAGTACTTCATAGTTGTTTTAATAACAGTTGCTAAGTTTCGAGTTTATTGCTATTTGTACATTATGTTTGTATACTAATAAAATTTTGTAACCTATTAGGTCATTTAGGCCAACAATGCGCAAACATCCGCTTTGCTGCGATAAAATAATTTTAAAGCTTTGAAAGTAGAGCTGACAGTGGAAAAGTTTCATTTCAATTTCCCGAATATGAAATGTATTCGCTTTCACAATGTATTTGCATAACATGAATAATGTTTGACTTTTAACACTTCAACCTCTCATAAACGAACACTTTTCATGTCTGAACGCTTTTTACCCTACTTAAATTAACATGATCCGACTGTCTGAGAAATTTACGATTTATAACTAAAGGATAGATAATTACGGGAAATGGGTCACAAAACCGTCGTAAGTTGATATTGAAGAGTATTGATAATTTATGACAGACTGGCTACAATAGACCTTAAATGCAGAATAATCCTCAGCTAGTACTTGCAAATGTAAAACTTATTTTGACAAATGACAAACTCTGAGAAAATAGGGGGCGGGTGGGAGGGGCTAGCACTTGCTAGATAAGACTGATTTTGCCCCAATTTAACTTGTAAAAACTTGAAAAAAAAAAAAAATCATAAAACAACACTTTGAATCTGCTAAACCGAATGCGTTGAAATCTTGCAGCTGTTTTAAGGTTATAAAGAGCATAATAAATTTTTAGTCAAAATATATTTGCTTATCCAAAATGTACAAAATATGATGAATCTGTACTTGTAATTTATCATTCCATTCATATTTTTTTAATTTGTGTATACAGGGTGACTCAAAAAAAATGAATGCGTGAATTTATTTTATTGATTTAATCAGGAACTACAAAACCGAATGCTTTGAAATCTTGGAGATGTTTTAAAGTTATTCATCCCCCTTAAAAATTGATGACGTCACCCCAAAATTTTGCTGAATAAATCCTATCTAAAATGTACAAAATATGATGAGTCTGTACTTGTGATTTATAATTCCATTAATATTTTTTGGATTTGCATATACAGGGTGACTAAAAAAAATATCATTGTACAACTGGTTAAAAAAAAAAACGGGACAAATGACAAATGACATATTCCCATTGCTTTTCATTGATCTATGAGAACTTGATTTGCTCATCTTTTCCCGTTTTTTGTGAAAGCAGCTGTACTTAGGAGCAAGGTACTCGGCAACGAGAGGTATTAAGACTGTTCCACCTCCTCACTGAGGGTTTCCATAACCCCTCAACACTTATATAGAATAGTGAGATAAGAATAAACATTTTCTGGTTTGATTACAGAAAATTTTGAATTCGAAACGAGAACTTTTGAGATAACATTTTCAACCAAACAGTAGAGAGTAGTTTTTTCTATAATAAGTCACATTTTTTTGGTTTATTGAACTGTTTTCAGAGGCTTAGAAGTTGAAAAAAGCTACAGGTTGATGAATAATACATCACAAAAAAAAAATTGACTTCCTCTAATGTAACTACTTAACTTACCACATTAATTTCGAGCAAATTTTTACGATCTGAAGGTCACAGAAAAAAAATTAGTTGTCATTATTTATTGCATTCAGCGCATAGAGTATATCATACAAACTTTCATATCAGTATTTTTGATTGCTTAAACTTCCTAAATATTCCATTTCTTCTTCTTCAAAAAAAAAAAAAATTGCTCGAAAGCTAAAGTACAGTGATCCAGCATTTTAGAGTTGAGTTTTTACGTTACAGAATTTTGTGATGACATCATCAACATTTTTTAGGTCACGTATATTAGTTTGGATTGGTGCAGTATAATACTAAAAATAACAGTATTGTATTCCCAAAATTTTCTGGGAAAATGGAGCCGTTCCTGATTTAATGAATAAAATAAATTGACACATTAATTAATTTTTCTTGAGCCACCTGTATAAGCAAAGCTAAAAAATATTAATGCAATAATAAATCACAAGTAAAAACTCATCATATTTTGCACATTTCGGGTATCTTGGGAATTTAATTGGTCACTATGGAAATTTGCAATTTAACACCTTTAAATTTCACAAGTTTTTACAAGATTAATCGGGGCAAAATCAGTTTTATCTTAACAAATACTAAGCCCGCCCACCCGCCCCCTATTTTCTCAGAAGATGTCATTTGCCAAAATCAGTCTTATCTTACCAAGTACTAGGCCCGCCCACCCGCTCCGTATTTTCTCAGAGGATATGCCATTTGCCAAGATCAGTCTTATCTTACTAAGTACTAGGCCCGCCCACCCGCCCTCTATTTTCTCAGAGAATATATGATTTGCCAAAATAAGATATATAGCAAGGACTAGACCCGCCCACACGTTCTTTACTTTCTCAGAGGGTAGTAGTTGTTAAGATAAGTCTTATTTTGGCAAATGACATATCTTCTGAGAAAATACGGGGCGAGTGGGCGGGGCTAGTACTTGGTAAGATAAGACTGATTTTGGCAAATGATATATCGTCTGAGAAAATAGAGGGCGGGTGGGTGGGGCTAGTACTTGCAAATGTAAAATTTATTTTGGCAAACGCCTTCAAAAAAAAGAAAAACCCTAATATTTTCACTCATTTCTACTTTTTCAATTAACTGAATTGAAGAATTGTAAATTTCTCTATACACATTCTAAAAAATCTTCAAAGTTTAAAATTTGTAAAGATTAAAATCACAAAACTTAAAAACAAAAATCTCAATGAAGACCTTGAAAAAAGCTACAGGTTGATGAATAATATATCTATATTAAAATAATTTTATCATAGAAGAAAAAAACCTTCTCTAGCGTGTCCACTTAACTTAGCACATTAATTTAAAGCAAATTTTTACGATCTGAAGGCCACAGAAAAAAAATTAGTTGTAACAAATGCAAAAATAATTATTTCTTGCATTCAGCGCATAGATTTTAGCACACAAACTTTCATATCAGTATTTTATAATTGTTTAAAGTATCTAAATATTCCATTCCTTCAAAATAAAAGAAAACCCTAATATTTTCACTCAAGTTCAAATTAACTGGATTGAAGAATTGTAAATTTTTCTATAAATATTCTAAAAATCTTCAAAGTCAAAAATTTGTAAAGATTATCACAAAACTTAAAAAATAAAAATCTGAATTGGTCAGAATATTAGAAATTTAATTTAATTACCGTCAATTATGGCGTGAAAACGTTAGATTCTTAATTCCACCCACTTTGTCATTCCTTAAAATAAAGATGACTACAAAACTATTGCGTCATTTCTCAACTTTTAATATCCGCGATTTTTTCAATCTATATTAAATTCATTCTGACATTTTCATAATATAAAAAACCCACCTCCATTTCCTCTTTTTTCTTTTCTTCCCTCTTCTTCTCAACCAGCTGCTTTGCCCTCTCAACTTTCTCCTCGACTGACAACTCCTGGTTTTCAACAGACGTAGCGTCTTCAGACTGAGTTTCCTGACTAGTGGATGGTTTTTCATCCCTTTTAATTACACAAACGCCATTATCACAAACTACATTTTCAGGTGCCGGAGCTGAGACAGGAGCTGGAGCCGATGGTTCGGCAACCTGCTCACTTTTAATGAAATCTTGTGTTTGTGCAGCTGTAACACAAAATTTAATAATAAAACAACGGTCACCGCAATCACTTACAAATAGGAGATAAACCTCCCTTTTGCAAAATTAGGTTAAGTTGGCCCTGAAAGCTTTTAACATCACTTGCTTCTTTTACAATCTCAAGTGGCACCCCTTGTTTACCAATAAAATATACAGACGGTACTGGAACTTGTTTATCTGGCAAACGTTCAGGAATAACATTACAACTGATTGTGACATTACAATCCAATTTGGCAAAAGGATACAAATTTGGCTAAACTGCTGATACGGGACAGATTCTGCTTCAATTTTAATTGCCACGAAGCTGTCGCTTCCCAAAATTTTCACCACCTCTGGGTTGTTGATTAATTCGGTGATTTGCGATGACTTTTCATCTTTTCCTAATAGATAACGTTGGTAAAAAATAGGTAAAAAAATTTAGATTACGCTTACCGTGAACGTACACTACAAAAATAGCTTGTTTGGCTTTTGATGTAACGATTGCTTGGGCGATTTCGCCTTCGAACCAATTCATTTTTGTAAAAACTATGATTTCGGTTACTTTTGACCTGTTTCGGTTGTTAAATGACGTGTTAGATAGCGAAGTGACAGACCGGTAATGACAGATGACGTTTGTTTACACATGTGTGCTATTCTCTGTCTTTCTTTATGGTGTGGTAAATTCCGTTGGTTACGTGCGGTGTACGTCTGTGATTGTTTGTTTTTATTTGGTCGGCATAGCTATAACAAGATGGCGAATTTAAATTAGGGCGGCAAAGTTGCTTCTGTTTTCACTGAGATTTTTGAGTAGTTTTAATAAGCAAACAACAAAACAGCTAATAAAGTGCTTTAAAGAAACCAGAAATTAGATTGATTTTCAAGATTCGTTAAATTAAAACTAACTAAGTGGTGCTAAGGTCAGAAAATCTCTTGTTGGAAAATCATAACATTATTAAAAATCAATTTCCTATAATATATTTCAAAGAAAAGTGTCCGAATTACAAAAGTTATACAGGGCACCACTGGTACGCCATATTTTTTCTACGTCGTTCCGCTCAGCTGTTCCTCTTCTCTCTGTGCCGGTCCACGCCAGCGGCGCCAGCATCACGGGGGCCGGTCCAGTGGCGGCCACGTGGCGGCAGCGGTAACATTCCTATGCCCAAATAAATAAACTCCATAAATATTTTCACTTTATTTTAGAAAATTTACATGATTATCATAGCTGGTTATGAGCTGGTTTGAGGAATTTTGGATAGGGATTTTATCCAGTGGTATTACATTGCTTAAGGTATCTCAAACTGATGAAAACCAACCCACAGAAGAAACACAAAAATTAATATCAATTCCAATTTTGGATCATCGAATGTCCTCACTACTACTAGGACTTCTATATTGTTGTCAACAATGTCAACTGGTTCATAGTTTCATTTTGCGCATACTCACAACATAGACAGCAGAAAATATAAATCGTGAAATTTTCGAGATAGGCAACCCAATTAACGTTCAGACAGTTCGGCTACGGACTCACTTTATCAGCTTGGTTGTTTAAAAAAAAGTGTATTTGAAATGTCTGTACCAGATTCATGTCCCAAAGACTATTTCAAGCTTATATCTTTTGAATTTTACTTTGGTTTCCTTACTCCAAATTCAAAAAACAGGTCAAAATAGTTTGAAATTTTGATTTCAGGTACATATACATAGCACCGACTCAAAACTGGTACTTAAAAGAAGCTAAAACAGCTGAAAATATATTGATATTTTTAACTTTATAATTTTTGAACATAAAAATAAAATTGTACTGAACCGACCTACTTATATAGTTTATTTTGGCGATTCTAAGAAGATGGTAGAATAACTGAAATGGAAAATAACTTCAAGAGGTCGAAACATACAAAAAACCGTGTTTCGGTAATTTTCAAAAGTGCTAGAGAAATGACCAAAATTTCATAAGAGTATTGAATAATTGAATTTTTCGAAAATGTGTCTAAAATTCTAAAAAACATTAAGGGATGTAGACCTTGACAAACTGAATTGAAAAGTATTGCGTGATAATGGTCCGGGACCAGGATTTTCAAAATCTTCGCTTTCAAAGTAATATTTTTCAAAATTCTAAAAATTGGCTTGCTTCCTTTTGACGATTCTGGGAAAACGGAAAAAATTTTCAAAGGGCTGAAGCGGAAAATAACTTCTAGATGTCGAAATATACAAAAAATCGTGTTCGAAAAACATCAAAAATTTCAAAATTGAAAAATTGAGATCATGCAAAAAATCTACAAAAAATTCTGGGACATTGATCTCGAAGAGCTGAATCGAAAAACCTATCGTATTGATGGTTCTGGACCAAGATTTTTTAAATCTGTGCTTTCAAAGTAATTTTTCTCAATATTAAAAAAAACATCATGTTTTATTTTGACGATTCTGGGAAGATGGTAAAAATTTTTGTAGAACTGAAGCCGGAAATTGCTTTAAGAGGTCGAAGTCTATGAAAAATTTGTTTCGGTAATTTTTGAAGGAGCCGAAAAAAAGGTCAAAAATTTCATGAAGGAAAAGTACTGAAAAATTGAGTTTTTGGAAAAATTGTCAACATACAAATTTCGACGATCTAAACGAAAAACACTGCAAGATTTTCGAAATATTTTATTTTAAAATCGAATTTTTAGAAAATTCAAAAAATGGTAGAAATTTTCGAAGGAATGAATCCGAAAATACAATCAATCTGGATGTTGAAAACTAAAAAAATTATATGTCGTGAATTTTCGAAATTGCTCGAAAAAAGCTCAAAAATGGAAGAATTGTGTTCTGGGGAAGCTGAACCGAAAAGTATCAAGTGTTAAATAGACCCACCAAATTTTCTAAATTTTCGTTTTCAAAGTGACATTTTTAAAAATTTAAAAATTGCAATATTTCACTTTGATGATTATGGGAAAACAGTAAAAATTTTCGAATAACTGAACCCTAAAATAATTTCTACATGTCGAAATTTACAAAAAAAACCTTCTTTGGTAATTTTCGAATGTGTTTAAAAATTGTCAAAAACTTCACCTATTGAAAAATTCAGTTGTTATAAAAGTTGCCCAAAAATTTACAAAAAATTCTGGGATATCGATCTCGACGAGCTGAACCTAAAATAGTGTAATTGATTATAATCTTGGGCCAATTTTCGATATCTTCGCTTTCAAAGTGAAATTTTTCAAAAATTCTAAAAATTTTCAAAGAACTGAAACCAGAGATAGCTTGAGGAAGTCGAAATGTACAAAAAAATTTGTTCGATAATTTTCGAAGGTGCTGAAAAAAAGTCAAATATTTCATAAATTGAAAAATTGCAAAATTGGGATTTTGGAAAAGTTGCTCGTTGATGGTTCCGAGCCAAGATTTTCGAAATATTTCCATTTACCCCAAATTTTTTTTTATTTTAAAAATTGGCTTATTTTTTTTAGGCGATTTTAGAAAAATCAAGGAAATTTTCGAAGAAATGACGCTGAAAATAACATCGGAGTGTCGAAATTTAGAAAAAGATCTGTTTGGGTTATTTTCAAATATGTTAGAAAACTGTCAAAAATTTCACAACGGGGAGTACTTATTGAAAAATTGAATTTTTGAAAAAGTTGTCCAAAAATTTACAAAAAATTTTGGGATATCAATGCCAACGAACTGAATCAAAAATAGCGTAATTGGTTGATGGTCCTGGACCAAGATTTTCGAAATCTTCACTTTCAAAATAAAATTTTTCAAAATTCTAAAAATTTGCCATTTTTTATTTTAGTAATTTTGGAAAATAGTAAAAATTTTTAAAGAACTGAAACCGGAGATAGGTTCAGAAAGTCGAAATCTACAAAAATTTGTTTCGGTAATTAGAAATTTCGACGATCTGAATCAAAAATATTGTCAGCTAATGGTCTCGGACCAACATTTTTGAAATATTTTATTTTAAACTTAAATTTTTAAAAACACTAAAGTGAAGCTGAAAATCTGGAAGTCGAAATCTAAAAAAAAATCTTTGTCGTTAATTTTCGAAACTGTTCGAAAAAAGGTCAAATATCGAAGAATTGTGTTCTCGAGAAGCTAAACCGAAAAGTATTGCGTGTTAATGGACCTCCGAAGATTTTAGAAATTTTCACTTTCAAAATGACTTTTTTTAAATTCAAAAATTGCCATGTTTCATTTTGACGATTATGGGAAGATAATTAAAATTTTCGAAGAATTCAAGTCAAAAATAACTTCTAGATGTCGAAATCTACAAAAAATTTTCTTTCTTCAAAAAATGTCAAAAATTTCATACCTCGGAGGGAGTATTGGGGGTGGGGGAAGGTGGAGCTGCTGCGAATTCAAACACAAGAACTGAGCTGTCTAGTACGTGATATCGGAACAGAAATCTTAAATTAAAATAATTACGTAACAAACATATATAAATTTGTCGAGAAGCAGCATAGAAAAGGTTCCGTAAGGTAACCCTGAACATAAAAAATCAAAAACACGTTTTTGAGTCTCGTGTTCAAAGAATACTACATATATTATTAAAAAAAAAGACAAAATATATACCCGGCCCACCCACCCCATCTCGTTTGTGAAGATTTTTTTTAATTATTGAAACTTAAAACATGTTTAAAATGGTAATTTTTCGTAGAAAAAAAAGGATTTTATAATTAAGCTCCGCCCCTCGGCTTACGACGAATAAAAAAAATCATCAGAATAGAGACAGGCTGGGTGGGCGGGGCTTATAATTTTCCTTTTTTTTTTTCTTAATATGTACAGTCATTTTTTTTACAATAAGAAATTGCAAAATCGATGTCTCTTTATACAAATATTCCATTTTAAACATGTTTTAAGTTTCATGTTGCGAAAAGAAATCTACACATATTAAAACAAGAAGGCAAAATGTAAGTCCGCGCACCCACTATCTCAATTGTGATGATTTTTTTTATTCGCCGTGAACCAAGGGGGCGGAGCTTAATTGCAAAATATTTATTTCTTTGAAGAAATTAAAATCACGTTTTTTAGTATCGGGTTGTTCAAAGAATACTATATATATTAAGAAAAAAAGGTAAAATATTTTCGAAATCTTCGCTTTCAGAGTGAAATTTTTCGAAATTCCAAAAATTTGCCTTGTTTCATTTCAGCAATTCTGGGAAATTGGTAAGAATTTTCGAAGAACCGAAGCGATGTGTTAGAAAAATGTCAAAAATTTCACAATCTATTGAAAAATTGAGTTTTTTTTTAAAGTTGTCTAAAAATTTACAAAAAATTTTGAGACATCGATGTCGACGAGCTGAATCGAAAATAGCGTAATTGGTTGATGGTCCTGGATCAAGATTTTCGAAATCTTCACTTTCAAAACAAAATTTTTCAAAATTCTAAAAGTTTGCCAATTTTTATTTCAGTAATTGTGGGAAAATGGTAAGAATTTTCAAAGAACTGAACCCAGAAGTCGAAATGTGCAAAAATTTATTTCGGTAATTTTCGAAGGTGCTAAAAAAGGTCGAAAATTTCATAAAACTGAGTTTTTGGAAAAGTTGTTCAGAAATCGACATAGAAATTTCGACGATCTGAATTAAAGACATTGTCACTCAATGGTCTCGGGCCAAGATTTTGGAAATATTTTATTTTAAAGTTAAATTTTTAAAAACAAATGATAGAAATTTTCTAAGAAATGAAGCCAAAAATCTGGACGTCGAAATCTAAAAAAAATTCTTTGTCGTTAATTTTCGAAACTGTTCGAAAAAACGTCAAATATCGAAGAATTGTGTTTGTAGAAGCTAAACTGAAAAGTATTACGTGTTAATGGACCCACGAAGATTTTAGAAATTTTCGCTTTCAAAGTGACTTTTTTAAAATTTAATTTTCGAGTGTGTTCCAAAAATGGCAAAAATTTCATAACGGGGAGTACTGAAAAATTGTTTTTCTGTAAAAGTTACCTAAAAATTTACCATAAAGCCTGGGACATCGATCTGGACGAGCGTATTGATGGTCATGGACCAAATTTTAGAAATTTTCGCTTTCAAAGTGAAATTCTTCAAAATTCCAAAAATTTGCCTTGTTTCATTTTACCAATTCTGGGAAAATGGTAAGAATTTTCGAAGAACGGCAGCCAGAGATAGCTTCAGGAAGTCGAAATCTACAAAAGAAATTATTTCAGTAATTTTTGAAGCTGCCGAAAAAAGGTCAAAAATTTCATAAATTGAAAAAAATGGAAAATTGGGTTTTTGGAAAAGTTTCCCAGAAATCTACAAAAAATTCTGGGACATTGATCTCGACGAGCTAAATCGATTTTCGAAATCTTTGCTTCCAAAATAAATTTTTTCAAAATTCTAAATTGACATATTTTATTTTGGCGATTCTGGGAAAATGGTAAGAATTTTCGCAGAAGTGAGGCCAGAAATTGTTTTTGGAGGTTGAAATCTAGAAAAAATTTGTTTCGGTAGTTTTTGTAGGTGCTGAAAAATGGTCAAAAATTTCATAAAAGTGTAGTATTGAAAAATGCAGTTTTTGGAAAAGTTGTCTAAAACTCTACATAAAAATTTCGAAGATCTAAATCAAAAACATTGCCAGTTGATGGTTTCGGGCCAAGATCTTCCAAATATGTTGTTTTAAAGTCACATTTTTAAAGAATTCTAAAAATGGTAGGAAATTTCGAAGAAATAGAGCCAAAATACAATCTGGATACCGAGATTAAAAAAAATCCATATCGTTAATTTTCGAAACTACTCGAAAAAAGGTCAAAAATGGAACAATTTTGTTCTCAGGAAACTGAACCGAAAAGTATTGCGTGTTTATGGACTTAATCAAAATTTTAAGTGAAATTTTTAAAAATTCAGAAATTGCAATGTTTAATTTTGACGATAATGGGGAAACGCTAAAAATCTTCGAAGAACTCAACCGAAAATAGCATATTGATTGTTTTGGATCAAGATTTTCGAAATCATCTCAAAGTAAAATGTTTCAAAATTTTAAAAAAATGTCATTTTTTATTTTAGTAATTTTGGAAAAATGATAAGAATTTTCGAAGAGCTGAAGACAGAGAAGTCGAAATCTACAAAAAAATTTGTTTGGTAATTTTTGAGGTGCCAAAAAAAAGAAAAAAAATTCATAAATAGAAACAATCGAAAAATTGGGTTTTTGGAAAAATTTTCGAAAAATTTACAAAAAAAAATCTGGGATATACTTATGTAGATCTCGACGAGCTGAACCGAAAACATTGCTTTTTGATGGTTTCGGACCAAGATTTTCGAAAAATTTCCATCTAAAGTCTTTTTTTTAATTCTAAAAATTGTCCTATTTCATTTCGGCGTTTTTGGAAAAATGGTAGTAATTTTGTAAAAAGTAAAAATCTGGATGTCAAAATTTACAAAAAAGAATTTGTTTGGGTAATTTCGAAAGTAATTTATTTTCGGTATCGACGAGTTGAACCGAAAATAGCATATTGATAGTTCTGGACCAAGATTTTTGAAATCTTCGCTTTCAAAGTTAAATTTTTCAAAATTTGAAAATTTCGCCACTTTTTATTTACGCAATTTGCTCGGTAATTTTCGAAGATCTCGAAGAAAAAAACATAAATTGAAAAAAATCGAAAAATTTGGTTTTTGGAAAAGTTATCTAAAAATCTACAAAAAATCTGACATATATGTATATCTCGACGAGTTGAACCGAAAACAGTGCTTGTTGATAGTTCCGGCCAATATTTTCCAAATATTTCATTTTGGCGATTTTGGAAAAATGGTGGTAATTTTTGAAGAATTTTACAAAAAAAATCTGTTTGGGTAATTTTCGAAAGTAATTTTCAGTCTCGACGAGCTGAATCGAAAATAGCGTGTTGATGGTTCTGGACCAAGATTTTCGAAATTTTCGCTTTCAAAGTGAAATTTTTTAAAATTCTAAAAATTTGCCATTCTTTATTTTAGCAATTTTTGAAAATGATAAGAATGTTCGAAGAAGTGAAGTCAGAGAAGTCGAAATCTACAAAAAAGTTTGTTCCGTATTTTTGAAGGTCCCGAAAAAAAGAAAAAAATGATAAATTGAAAAATTGTGTTTTTGTAGAAGTTGGCCAAAATTTTACAAAAAGATGTGGGATATATGTAGATTTCAACAGCCTGAATCGAAAACATTGCTTTTTGATGGTTCCGGACCAAGATTTTTGAAATATTTCCGTTTAAAGTCATTTTTTTTTAATTATAAAAATTGTCCTATTTTATTTCGACGATTTTGGAAAAATGGTTGGAATTTTCGAAGAAATAATATCTGGATGTCGAAATTTACAAAAAAAATCTTTTTGGGTAATATGTGAACGTGTTCTAAAAAAGGTAATAAATTTCATAAGGGAGAATGTTGAAAAACTGAGTTTTTGGAAAAGTTGTCTAAAGATACTGTGGTAATGATAGGAAAGTTTAATCAAATATTTATGTTCATTTGGTCTTTGTTAGAAAATATTTTTAAATAAGTTTCCCGTGATATGTAAAATTCAGTAAATATTGCAATTTAAATGAGAGAACATAAAATGTATTCCTTCAAAACTACGATTAAATAATATTTAGAGATTACTGAATATCAAATAAAATTTATCTCTTCATCTCCTTTTGAAAATTTTTGACGTTAACATCAAAAATGAAGAAATCATACACCCATCTTGGAAAAATCTGCGTAGTTATTTTAGAGATCTGTTTTTGAGAACTAGGGCTTAAAAGTACATTGTTGTCATAAAAATAATAAAAAAAGAAATAATTAGATAAATATAATTCGGAAATATTCAAATTATTTCTAGAAAGAATGTCACGCGATTTAAGCCACCCTGTAGTTTCCATTCGTTGATTCGATTTCACCCTCCCTGTTATTGATGGCGTTCACTGCACACGCAGATAGCGCCCATAAACCGGTGGCGCCGCGACGGTGAGCGTCCGAACGACCCAAAATAATCTGTTTTTCTTGGCCTAATGTGGGTTTTACTTGTGTTCCAACATCATTCGGCAAATTCGAACAAAATTTTACAAAATTTGCCAACATAAAACAACAATCAGCCGCTCGCCACTGCAACACTCAAGTAAGTACCAAACATAAATTTTTCACCTCGTTCCACTCCACATTGATCTAGTTGTTTATTTAGCGAACTTAAATATTGCACCACATCTCGCTTTAGTTTAAAACCCCACGATCCTCCTCGAAGATAATTCTCCAAATTTTATGACGTTACCGTGGTTACAAGGGATGTTAGAAACGGAAAGAGACACCCTTGGTTTTCTAGATCAATACGGGGTAATTTTAAGCCGCGTATCACCCCACATTCTCAGCCTGTGCGAGCCACTAAGCAAAGACAATTCAAAATTAATCTTTTCATTTTCAAGCCAAACCTATTGTTCGTTATACTTTTAAAAACCGTGCGAATACTCCGGATTTCTGGCGGCCGGACACGCGATAAATCCACAAAAATTCGTTTCCTTTCCGGCTGAAACGTAATTTTCAGGATTCTGATGCGGTCAAAAGTCTATTAATTCTCCACCGCGTTTGATCATTCCGTGATAAGGAAAGCGCAATTGAGCGAAAAAATTGCTGAAGTAAATTTTTCTCATCGCTTATTCAAAGCAAAGTCGGGTCGAGGGTCTAATTTTTAAAAGATGAATCGACAAGGTTTGCTTCTAAAGCCATTTGGAGAGTGCTTGACCGAAATGCCAATCAGGGCAGGAGTTTCAGGAGCTTTTACAAGCACTAACTCTATTTATCTCATGAAATTTAAATTTTGTACATGTGTTTGGTGATTTTATCGCTGAAGTTTGGAGGTCGGATGTTGAAGGGTCGGCGAATAGAAACTTTTCACTTGTTTGTTATTGCGGGAAAGAACAATGGAAAAATTTTGAGTTTTGTTGATTGTTATAAAATACACATTTGTAAAAATATTAATAACAAAATAACATTTTATATTTTAACATTGTTTGTTAAATTTATGAATGAATGTAATCCATTGACGCAGTCGATTTTTTTATTAGAAGTAAATTTAAACCACGTTAAAACTGGGCCAAACAGTAAATTTTATTTTATGAAGGTCCTTAGACCTTCCACGAAAACATCAAAGTAATTCTAACCATAAATTTAAATTGTGCTCCCTTTACGACTTTAGTTCTTAAGGGAAAAGATGTGTTTACGTTCATTCAGCATTCTTGGAATGTGAGTTCCATTCCTGTTAGAAAGGATAGTTGTTTTGACGAATGTCTAATTTCATGTCTTCTTGGGATACGAATATGCACGTTTTCTAGTTTCGTCTTTCACTGTTGGAAACTTTTGAAGAAGTAATCTTCTAAACCAGTTTACTGATTATATGGAATTTGAGCTTATTATTATCATTATTATTAATTTTTTTGAAGTCGAAAAAGTCTGATTGCCGGCCGTCTACGTTTCCTGTTCTGAGTTTATGGTTTCTTGGAAAAATGTGTTTGTAACTGCTTATAACGAATCACTCGAAAAATTTTATGAATGAGACAATTTATATTATTGATTAAATCAAGGAAATTTTTGAATAGAGTGTTGTCATTCTTAGGATTACACTCCACCTATCCAAACTGATATAAGTACCCTTGTTAGATTATAAAATTCACCTGAATATAATTTTTCCAAAAATATATCAGTAAAAACTTGAATAAATCTAGGAGACTCCTGCTGTTTTGTGTTTGAAAGCGTCTGAAAGAATGTGAGGGCCCCTTAGTGTCCTCTTTTCAAAATTTGAGCTCTTCCGGGTTTATAGTGAAATATTTTTCAAATTTCTGAGGCTTCTGATATTCAGATTTTGGGGGTCTTTCACTTTTTCCCGACATTTCATGATCCCCAGACTATGATACAATAAGTCTCCCGTTTACGTTTCTTGTTTGTCGCCTGTCGTCTGTCATCTCTGTCAATTTTAATAATTTTTGAAATCACCGGACCAATAGTTGTCCTCACCAACAATTTGATGACATTTTATTTATGGTTTATGAGTCCACTTTGTTTTTTCACAATTACGTTAAAAAATGTTTGTGTAATATTTGTCATGTGTTTGCAGCCAATATCTGGATTATGAACGGAATAAGTACGAGGCTGAGTGGTTAAGGCGTTGAACTTGAGCTTTGCCCGCGAGGATTCGAATCCCACCCCCGTCGATATTTTTTTTCTAAGACATCGAATTTCTTTGAATGTTGGCTTCAGATGCGTGGGAAGTTCTCTCCAAATCACTTTAGATCTTTTTTTAACATTACTTGATGGTGTTTAGAGTGCCTGGAAACTGTTGATAATTTTCTGCTATTCTCAAAGTTTTTGTCTAAATCTGAAGCGAACTGTTTTTGCCACAACTGAGTATTTAATCACTAAAAGCGGGTTGATGCCCTTTTATCCGGTTTTTTGTTCAGTATTTTAGGTCAGTTCTCGTTCTCTTTTAATATGGCCACATATTCAGGATTTTGTCGATTTTGTGTTAATGTCCTTCAATAATTCTGGGTTATTTCGGCACAATACGGATGCGAGAATTCAATTTCTTTCGTGAGATTAATCTTTTAAGCGGGAATTGTAAGATTTTGTGGAAACTACCTACACATTTTGTCGGCAGAATATCTACCTTAGTAAATTAATCCTGAAGAAACTCGAAAAAAACAAAACCCAATAAGGATCAATAATTGTTTATAATGATTTATAATAATTGTTGAACACGTTTTTAGTTCAGACATGCCTGATAACAATTTGTTTTTTAACCTTCTCTAACGTACGTAATCGAAATTCGATTGTTTAAAGTTGCTCTTAAAGCGTAGGTCCTGTAAAAAATAAATGACCGTTCCAAGCCGTTTTTCTGCCTCCTTCAGGATTTTTATGGAATTTTTGGGCGAATTAGCTTCCTTGGATATTTTTTTTTCTTTAATAAAACACCGACACGTTTTGGGGTTTATCCTTTATGTACAGAAAGTTAAATAAACAGAGCTTTATAAATTTCATTTAATGGACAATAGCTTGTTTATTGGGTAGTTACCACCTCCACACCGCTCCTTGATCCGCAGAGTTTTAATACCAAATAGAACCATGTTTTCTATTCTAACGTACTTTACGGTCATGTTTTATAGCGAAAGGACTTTTTTAGTTTCTGAATTACTCAAGCTGTAAGATTCTAAAGCTTATAAAAGGTAACATTCTATCGTAATTACAGGTTTTACGAGCATCCCACGACCAGAAAAGGAATTAGTAAACCGTAATTAATTACTGAGGTGGATAATGTTTATTTTAAATAACGTTTTAATTAAGAGTGTCATTTTTAAACACAGATTTAATTAATTTATTTTAGTACACTACGTCTCAGTTTTAAGCTGTTAAAACTGTACATGAAAAATGTGTTTTTTTTTTTTCATTTTGGGTAAAAAGCAAATTAAATATACCACGTAATATGTAATTTCCAAATGGATTCCCTATGTTTAATGTGTCAGATTAAATGACAAATTTTAATGTCGATCCCAGCTGAATAACTAAATTAATCCATAAAGTACGAGTAGTAAGTAGTTCCACTCATTCGTGTAATTATCACTTTATTTGATTTTCTTGTCACACAAACGAAGTAATGAATTTTTTTCTTATTGACAGTATCGAACAATTAGACAATGAACGATTTTTCATAAAGCTAAAGCTGAAAACAACTAAAATTATCGATCCTGCCGTTGTTAAATTTAAATATTCCCCATGAAAATTTTATTGTAATTTGACATTTCTGCGGAGGTTCGAAGAGCCCGAATATAGCCCTTCATCAATATTTAACGGAAGACCCATTTTTAGAAGCCAAATCCCTCCTTATTTAATTTTTAAACAGTCTAAAAGTATTTAGGCATCGGAGACGGAAATACCGCCGGAGCGTTGTCAGCTTTACTAGCACCGAATATTAAAATCATGACGCTTGTCCCGAAATCAATAAATATTACTGACATTTTCAATATCGGAAAATTTTGCGATGTCACCACCGAAATGATCCGGAGCCCATTTTTCGGTTAATAAACTTAAATCATTCGTGATGTATGAATTTGGCCCTGTCCTCATACGTCAAGGGCTGTAATGGAGAGATCGTTGTCATGTGATAAGTTGTCATGTCCAAGTAGGGTTTGTTTACTTCGGTCTCACGTTGCGTAATTTATTTGCTTTTATTCAGGTGTCCGATCAATACTGTCGATACGCACTAGCCTGTGTTTATCACAGATTCCCTTACAAGGTTTTCTTGGTTATTGGGAGGCTGGGCGATTTAATTGATACTATGTAATTGAATTAATAAAGCAATGTTGAAAGAGAAGGACTGTGTATTAAACGCAAGGGAGGATGTGATACCAGGAAATCGGGAATTATCCAGAGGCGCCAACAGTCGTGGTAATCTAGAGCGCCGGTGCCGGAATTCAAATTTTCTTTTAAATGAAGTAAAATTTTGGAGCTTCAGACGCCGATCTAAATTCTTCCGGAGCTGGTTCAGGAGGTTCCATTCGTCTCTCACCACGGGATTCCGAGATTCTTTTTAAACTACTTCAAAAACAAAACACAAGGGGTAGTCAATATGTTTTTAAGTAACTTCAAAAACCAGATACAAAAGGTCTCCAAGATTTTTTCAAATTACTTCAAAAATAAACCACAAGGATTCCCGAGATTCTTTCAATTTACTTCAAAAACCGGACACGTAGGCTCCCTGAGATTCCTTCAAAATACACACTTCAAAAATTAAACACAACTGATCTCCGAGATGCGTTCAGATTACTTCAAAAACAAGAAAAGGCATCCCTGAGATTCTGTCAAATTATTTCAAAAACCAAACACAAGGAGTCCCCGAGATTCTTTCAAACTACTTCAAAACAAGATACAAGAAGCCTCCGAGATACTATCAAACTACCTCAAAAACCAGACGCAAATATTGCTTGAGATTCTTTCAACCTATGTACTTCAAAAACGAAACACAAGCAGTCTCCGAGATTTTTTCAAATTACTTCAAAAACAAGACAAAGGATCCCGGAAATTCTTTCAAATTACTTTATAAATTAGACACGAAGGTTCCACGAGATTCTTACAAAATACATACTTCAACACAAGGGGTCTTCGAGATTCTTTCAAACTACTTGAACAACAAGATACAAGAAGTTCCCGAGATACTTTCAAACTACTTCAAAAACAAGACACAAGGAGTTCCCGAGACGGTTTCAAACTACTTTACAAACTAGAGACAAAGGTTGTCTGAGATTCTTTCAAACTATGTACTTCAAAAACAAGAACAAAACCAAGAAAAATTATCCTTAAAATTCTTTCAAATTGGTTTATAAATTAGGCACGAAGGTTCCTCGAGATACTTTCAAAATACATACTGCAACACAAGGTGTCTTGGAGATTTTTTCAAACTACTTCAAAAACCATAGACAAAGGTTTCTGAGATTTTTTTAAACTATGTACTTCAAAAACAAAACACAAGGGGTCCTCAAGATGTTTTCAAATTACTTTAAAAACCAGACACAAAAGGTTTCCGAGATTCTTTCAAATTAATAAATAAAAAACCCACAAGGAGTCCCCGAGATTCTTTCAATTTACTTCAAAGAACAGACGCGTAGGCTCCCTGAGATTCCTTCAAAATACGTACTTCAAAAACAAGACAAGCTATCCCTGATTTTTTATCCCTTTATTTCAAAAATAAAACACAAGGAGTCCCCGAGATTCTTTCAAACTACTTCAAAAACAAGACACAAGAAGTCTCCGAGATACTTTCAAACTACTTCAAAAATAAGGCACAAGGAGTTCCCGAGATGCTCTAAAACTACTTCAAAAACTAGACACAAGGAGTCCCCGAGATACTTTTAAACTACTTCAAAAACCAGACACAAGGAGTCACCGAGATTCTTTCAAACTACTTAAAAAACAAGATACAAGGAGTCCCCAAGAAGCTTTCAAACTTCTTCAAAAACAAGACACAAATAGTCCCCAAGATACTTTCAAACTACTTCAAAAATCAGACACAAGGAGTCACCGAGATTCTTTCAAACTATTTCAAAAACAAGACACAAAATGTCCCCAAGACGCTTTCAAACTACTTCAAAAACGAAACACAAGGGGTCCCCGAGATTTTTCAAATTACTTCAAATAACAAGAAAAAAGATCCCTAAAATTCTTTTAAATTACTTTATAAATTAGGCACGAAGGTTCCCCGCGATTCTTTCAACAAAAGGGGTCTTCGAGATTCTTTCAAACTACTTCAAAAACAAGACACAAGGAGTCCCCGAGATACTTTCAAACTACTTCAAAAACCAGACACAAGGAGTTCCCGAGATTCGTTCAAACTACTTAAAAAACAAAACACAAGGAGTCACCGAATTGCTTTCAAACTACTTCAAAAACAAGACACAAGGAGTCCCGGAGACGATTTAAAACTACTTCAAAAAGCAGATACAAAGGTTCCCTGTGATTCTTTTAAACTATTTACTTCAAGAACAAAACACAAGGGATCCCTCAAATTTTTTTAAATTACTTTATAATTTAGGCACCAAGGTTTCTAGAGACAAGCAGTCTTCGAGAATTTTTGAAATTACTTCAAAAACAAGACAAAGATCCCCGAAATTCTTTCAAATTATTTTATAAATTAGAAGGTTCCACGATATACTTTCAAAATACATACTTCAACACAAAGGGTCTTCGAGATTCTTTCAAACCACTTCAAAAACAAGACACAAGAAGTCCCCGAGATTTTTTGAAATTAAGTACTTCAAAAACAATGCCTCAAAGATTATACGTGTCATTTAAATGTTTAGTTTAAATTCATTTAAAACATCATAGTTTAACTGACCGTAATTGGAAAAATATTAAGCAGTCTAAAAAATATTTTTATGAAAGGATAAATTAATAAAACATTCAAAATTGGATAAGATTATATCTAAATTTTTGTTTACGAGTCAAGGGATTTTTTGTTCACTTTTCACGCCGTTTTTTGGTATCTGTTACTGGAAATTGTTCTAAATTTTTGGAATCCTTTGGAACTATTTTGTTGTAACATAATTGTGAAGTTAGTAAAAACTACTAAACATTTAATTATTAATCATTGCTAAAATAGAAACGTGAAAATGTGGTTAAAACTCCCCTGGGATTGTTTCAAAATACATACTTCAAAAATCAAACAAAGTGATCCCCGAGATTCCTTCAGATTACTTCAAAAACAAGAAAGCTCATTCTTGAGATTCTTTTAAACTATTTAAAAAACGAAACACATGTAATCTCCGAGATTCTTTCAAATTACTTCAAAAACCAGACACAAAGGTTCCTTGAGATTCTTTCAAGCTACTTCAAAAACGAAACACAAAGAGTCACCGAGATTCTTACTTTAAAAACCAGGTGCAAAGGGTCTCCGAGATTCTTTCAAAATACGTACTTCAAAAACAAAACTCAAGCGGTCCACGAGATTTTTTCAAATTACTTCAAAAACAAAACACAAGTAGTCCTCGAGATTCTTTCAAACTACTTCAAAAACAAGACATAAGAAGTCCCAGAGATGCTTTCAAAATACTTCAAAAACCAGACACAAAGGTTCCTTGACATTCTTTCAAACTATGTAGTTCAAAAATAAAACACAAGGAGTCCCCGAGATTCTTACTTCTAAAACCAGGCACAAAGGAATTCCGAGATTCTTTTAAAATGTCAACTTCAAAAATAAAACGCAAGCGGTCCACGAAATCTTTTCATATTACTTCAAAAACAAAATACAAGGAATTCCCGAGATCCTTTCAAACTACTTCAAAAACAAAACACAAGGAGTCCCCGAGATTCTTTCAAATTACTTTAAAAACCAGACACAATAAGGACACTCAGAGATTCATTGAAATTACTTCAAAAACAATGTCTCAATTATTGTACGTGTCAATAAAAATTTAGTATAAATTCATTTAAAACATCATTGTTTAACGGACCGTAATTGGCAAAATATTGTTATGAAATAATCCCATACGTCTCCCCGGTACGACGCCTGTGGGTCTTCTAGTATGTATACGTTCGCTGATGAAGCGGAAGTTGCTATGGGTAACCCAGAAAACCCTCGAAGCGGGGTTCTCGAACCATCGGGATGAACGTATAGTATAGGTTTAAATAGAGGCTACAGTTGGGAACGAGGGATTCATCAAATCGAGTCCACGAGAGTACAATCAAGTTGTGCCGGAATTATTTTGTACATAATCGCTGTGTAATAATCAGTTGTGTAATTCGAGTTATTAAGAAATAAATTGTCGAGACTAAAAAATATTTTCATGAAAGAATAAATTAGTAAAACATTCAAAATTGGATAAAATTATATCTAAATTTTTGTTTAGGGGTCAAGGGGATGTTTTTCACTTTTGGTTTTTCTCAGCTCCTAGAAGACAAAAATGCAAGTTTTTTAGTTGTGTCGTTTTCGGTATGTATTTACTGGAAAATTTTCTAAATTTTGGAATCTTTTAGGATTACCCTGTAATTTAAATATGTTGTTACATAAATATTACTAAAACACCATTAAACATTTAATTATTAATCATTGCTCAAGTAGAAAAATGAAAATATGGTTAAGACAATCTCTTCAGAAACGTTCATCAAAATTTTGGGAATTAAGTAATAATTATAAATTTAAGAATTCAAGAAAGTTACAAATTTAAGATATCCTGTCGAAAAATTCGTTAGGTCCGTGTTGAAAAATTCCCGTCTGTTCACGTGGTAACGATTTGTTCTTTAACCTTTTCTAACGCAAGTAATAAAATACAAATTCGAACTAAAAAGTTTCAAAGTTGCTCTTAAAGCGTAGATCGTGTAAAAATAAATAGCTTTTCCGAGCGCTTTTTTCTGCCTTCTTCAGGATTTTTATGGATTTTTTTGTGGATTAGCATGTTCCGATATTATTTTTTCTTTTATAAAACACCGACACGTTTTACGGTTTACCCTTTATGTTCGGAAAGTTAAATATCAAACCTTTATAAATTGCACTTAATGGCCAGACAATAACTTGTTTATTGGGTAGTTACCACCTCCACGCAGCCCATCTTCTCAACATTTTAATACCATACTTTATATTCTAAAGTTGAATGAACTTGAAACCAAATAAATATTTAAATATGTATAAATTTCAGGTGCAATTTTTTGTTTCTAGCCACAACTACCCTCGTCTTTCTCTCACTCCAAAAGACTGGTATTTCCACACCAACAGTACCTGGATCCAATCAAAATAAGATTTTTTCCACTTTACGATAATGAGAATAAGTCCTTGCAGCACTTAAACGACTTGCTGACGTCGAAGAAGCAATAAAAGTGGCACCGTTCAAATTGAAATTTAGCAGGATGTCGAAGTCGAATTCTTCAACCAGGAGTAATTCGATGGAGACTCCTGCTGAATGCGAAAGCGAAGTGTGTAGTCCTCAAAGGGACGTTCCTGCCATCATGGAGGCGGCTGAAGGTCAGGAAGTGGTGCCGTCGAGTCCGCCGCCATCCTATGAATATGTTCTGAAAGAGGTTACTATTTTGCATGCTGTTATTGTAGTTGTTTCCTTGAAAATATTACATAGTACAAAATCTTATTTAATTTCACCGTATTCTTTGACAATTATTTACGTTATTTGTTGTGGAATCGTTGAAATACGATAATGGGTTTGTGTTACATGGGGGCGGAATCGGTAGTTTCTTTTACGTTTTTATATAATTGGAATGAGCTTTGAAAGCTCTGGCGAAACACTTTGGTTTAATCGAAACTCTAAGCTCGCCGCTGGGGACAGATTTCGGTTAAATTTCTGCAGGGATTAGAGATGAGCTCTAGCCAATAAGAAACTAAGTTATAGTCTGAAATTTCATTATTATACTTTTGTTTTTGTCTTATCCGGGAAGATTATTTGATTCTTTGCATCTTCCGGGAAGCGGATTGGATAGTGGAATTTTGTTTTGAGGAGCAACGTTCTTGTTGGCCGTAATTTCGGGGAAGTTTCTAGACAAGATTTACGATAATTTGTATTTTCCTCGTTAAAATTTTATCTAAATGGGTTCATCGGGGAAGTTCCTAAATATATGAGCCACATTTAACTAAGCTTCTGTAATGGATTGTGTAACACATATTTTATGTGTGCAGAAGTTTATAGTCCATAAATCGCTCATGAGTTTGACATTGTTTCTCAGAGGAATTGTTTAAAACGCAAACAATGTTAACGTTATTATTAATGCTGCACATTTTTTGTGTATAAGTAGAATCTCGTTTCTATGGTTTTAATTTCTGTTTTTCAGACAAGACTCAAAGCCCAAAGTGACGCCTCTTCGCCCGTGAACCCGCTGAAAGGACCTGAAATAATGCACAAGTCCAGCAAGGAATTATACAAAGCCGTCGCCAAACAATTTGGTATAACATGCAAAATGTCGGATCAATGTCGTTGTTTTGATTGCCAAAGCCATTATTTCGAATGCGAATACGAACAAAATGAACAGGAAAAAACAGATGGAGGTCTTGGAGCCGGAACACCAATGTTCATATCTGAAGTAATGCACGGCACTGCCTGCACCATATTGTAAAAAATTTTATGAAATTAAAAAAACAACAAAAATCCATTTTAAACAGGCGAAACGCCAATACAGCTTTAATGAAACTCTTATACTTAAATCAAAAGGTGAAAATGAAAACAGATGTATGGCTTTACAGGTAACGCACACGTTTTAACGACTTTTTTTAATGAGATAGTTTTAACTTGTACTGTTAGAGTGTATAGAAGATAGGAGTATTTGTTATATATTTCAGTAGCCAATGTTGTACATATAATACAGAAAACTGTATCATAGCATGGGATAGGTGCTTTCAAAAGATCTCATAATGTTGTTGTAATACGCAAAGAAATGGCCTAACAAACTTGATTGTATAAAACGTTTGTAAGTTGCGTATTACTGTGCTTTCTGTACTTATTCTTCTAAAAGTTGTACACGCGTCTGTAGAACGTGCACTTAATATGCCTTCTAGAGTCTAAGCTTCAGTGTTTTTATACTTTCGCTGTAGAACTGTGTTTACTGTATAGAGTCTCTTTACTTGACTTTCCTCGGCTAGGCAACTATTATTGGCTACAGTTTTTTGTCTCTAGAGTAACTTAGTCAATACCAAGTGTAACTTTTACATCTTTAAATGTCATTCCTAAGTGGTGTAAGTGTCCAGATATTACTATTTTCGTACTATATCGTGGATGTGTGTTAGGATAGTTATTGTTAAGAAAGATAATAACAGAGAACCGAGTGCGCATTGTACAATAGTTGAGAAAACCTGTTCAGTGTTACCTGATATTGGGAACAATGTCAAATTATACGGTTAAGCCACTGCTACTGCTAACATTGGCGACAAGTTTCGAAAATCCAAGAGACAGGGTGTCTTCGAACTGATTAAAATAATCGTAGGTTAAGATTTTGAGACTTTTTTTTACCCACTTTTATTATCTACTATTACATTGTCCACCAACCATGGCTGTCCTACAGTTTTAGATTTTTTTTAAGATTTGTACGCCCTGTATTGATTAGATGAAGCTTACGAAGTGTGGCAGAACATTATTGTATTATAACTTTGTGTTCAGTATATACCTGTCTGACCTATTAAAATGTAACAAAAAACATAGGGCCTATATCTTGTATAACGTAATAAATGTTAAAATTGCACCAAAATATCTTTCGCACGTATATTTTGTATATCGGAATTGCAAATAACCGTGTGATATTATATTTAACTTGTAACCTTTATTGTGGATGTTTTTATTTCGAGAAAATAAAATAGTGGAGTATAAAGAAGTCTGTTTTGTGTTGCGCTAATTTATGCTTTGTGTGGAGGGTTATTTATGGTTAATTGCCAAAGCGAGAAAAGAAGTGTAATTATATGTCGTTGATAAGAAAAAATATGTCGATGCGATAAAAGTGCTGGAATTTTATTCCCGGCTTTGTTTTCTTTGTTTCAGAATTTAAATTGCACCGAATTTATGCGTTAAGACATATTTCGTGTCTTATTTTAAACGTACAAAAGTTTTTCGTTTTTTTATGAGAATTTCACAAATGATTTTTTTATTTTTATAGACTTACGTTTTTTATTTCAAATTTATTTCAACTCTGTACTTCTCTTTACATAATTTAGATTCAATATTAGATTTGAAGAAAACTAAAAAATAAAATATTTTGCAAATGTCAATAACAAATAATGTTGGTATAAAATTATTTAAAAAGAACACAGTCACACAAATCCAGATTGTTTTTTGTAAAATATGAAAAGTATAAGTGAAAATGAATCTAGAGCTTGATTATTAAAATAAATTTCAAGTGATTTTTGATGATTTCTTAATACAATTTTGTGATGATGATGATAGTGATGAGGATGACGTCATCAACATTTTAGGGACAAAAATATTACTTTGAGTAGGTACATTGTCATGCTAATAACACGAGCACTGTGTTGCAAAATCTTAGGAAAATAAAATAACTTTCTAGAATATTTCTAATTTTCTTTTGAATTTTTTTAGTGTTAAAATGCACTCAACATTCCACAACAATCGGTCTAGTAGTTTTAGAGAAGATTTGTCTAATAAAATCGCCAACAGACAGGCAGACAGACGTATCGTCCAGGTCGTAAAATCTGAAGAAAACTTGAAACTGACCGATTCCTCAAACTAACTATATGACAATACGTTCCTTTCTCTACGGTGAAAAAAGAGAGCTTTTTACCCTTGTGTGTTGTCATCTAGGTACATTATTAGAACAAGCGCACTTCTACAAGCTGATTATGGCAAGTTTTTTAATATATGTACCATATGTTATTGAGTGTAGTATTGTAATTGAACTATTAATAATCTTGGCAGAAAAATATTGAGGGGTATAAAAAAGCAATTACATGTGATTTGGATCCTAGGAAGATCATGTCAAATTTTGATTAAATAAATATTACTTTTAGTGTGAATGGCTACTTTCATTTTTTTCGATATTTCCTGATTTCTATGGTATATTAAAAGTAGGTCTCTCGTTTCCGTTTGTTTGTCGTCTGTCGATTTGTCGCTGTGTCGATTTTTTTAAATATAAATTTTTTTAATCAAAAAAAAAATTGGTCCAAGGTTACTTCGACAGAACTTCCCTTGCCCTTGAAGTACAATCCAACAAATTCAGCTTTTTTGAAAAATGATAGAAAATTTGTGTCTTTTGATAACCTTTATATAGTAAAAATTAGTGGTGTAAATGACATCTCGAACCCCCTAAGCCGCTGGGGTACAAATTCCAAGGAGGTGCCGTCCGCAGATATGCAGACAATATGAAATGTATTCAAGCAAATAACCAATGGAAAAGAGTGTATTTTTATCAGTGTACATGCTTAACTCCGATTGTTTATGTTTATACATCGAAAGAATGTCACGTAGAAATTTGTTTAATTTGAATGAGTTGTCGCTTCAAAACACAAGACTAAAATGATTATTCAAGCCACAATGGAACAAAATGTTTTGAATGTGATTATTATTATTCTTATTTGATCATTATTCTCAAATTTTCTAGAAAATGAGGTTCTTCATTTGATCAATAAAAAATTGGTCGAAGACTATATATTGATTTTACGATTTTCGTTTTGTAATAACTGCTGTAAAATAAAAATCAGAGGCATAAGTAACACCCCTTGACTTTCATTCAGCACTAGGTAATAGCAACCTGAAGCTCAAGTGTTAATTCATATTTATACATCGAAAGAATGTTCTGAATATTATAATTCATATTTTATCATCATTACACATAAACTCCGTATTCTTCACATTTTCGAGAAAATGGAGTGATTCGTTCTTAATTTGACCAATAAAAAATTTGTGATGACGTCATCAACATGAACAATTCTAGGCACAACACAAAAGAAAAGTAGTCACAGCGTTATTACTGCGCCACGGAGACATACAAACCATGCTGGGAATAAAACGTTATTATACCTTGCAAATATTTTTCTGAAAATTTAAAGGCAGATGAGTATATGTTGTTACATTGAAATCACTTTAAAATACCATTCATTGAAATGACGTCTTCAAATTTTTGGTAGGGATGATTAGCCAAATTTTGGTTAGCATTTATATAACATTTCTAACATACATACAAAATTTAACAACAATTGGTCCAGCAGTTTCGGAGATTCTGTGTCTAATAAAAATGGATACAGACCCCAGACAGACAGACAGGCAGATAGACAGACAGAGAAACGGAAATGGGAGACTGCTTTTTTCTTACTGTAGGGGTCATGAAACGTCGAGAAAATATAAAAAGAGTGAGTCGAATCAGGGACGCACGGTTGGAGTTTTAACTCTGCGCTGTCAATTTATATAAATTAAACACGTATACTTAATAATAAAAACCAAAAATATGTTGCATTTGTATTTTTTGACAAAATGATGATTAATGATGATGATTGGGTTAATTAAAGTAAATATCCATGTATTGTCACGTGTTGTTTATTATAAAATATACTTTTTTTATTTATTTATCATGTAGAAATATCATAATTAATTAGTATAATAATATTGTATAAAAAAAATTAAAGTGAGCAATTTACCAACTAAAGTAACCAGTAAATATTTAGAAATGCTAGAGCCGGCAAAAAAATCGGCCACCCTGAAAAATTTCGCAAAACCAATTATTAATTTAACTATTTATTTATTGACACATGATTATATATTAGCAAAAAAGAAGATAAATAAACGCAGAATTAAATTTTATTTAACAAAATACTGAAAAACGCAAACAACACCGACACCGACACCGACACTGACACCGACACCGATACTCGGGACCCCGACGTATGCAAGAGGAACAATCCCTAAATTTGAATTATACTGATGACTATATCAATAAACTGCTTGTACAACTCTCACAACATTAGAACAAAATAATAAACTTGTTTGTTTTAAAAATTACAGAACACACTATTCAAAATCTTCCGTCTTGAGATTTTGAAAATATAAATGTAACCGTCGTAACAGTATTTGAAGTTTTAAAAGTTCGAGCAGTGTTTTATCAAAAATTTTATATCGACTTAGATAGAGACGAAAATTGAATCTTGAGGTAGGTATAAGATCTTTTCGGTAATTTAAGCTTTGACTATTTAGCATTGTTTTGACAAGTTTGTACTGTCGATATTTTTAACGAAAATTTTATAACAATGCATGTTCAAAGTCTTTTTTCCAATGATCTTCATATTATTAAGTATATATTTTTTTAGTTTCTGAATATTAACATTTCAAAATAATATCTTTTTGATTTCAATGTGTTGAAAATATAAAATAACAAATTTAATATATATTTTTTATCTGAAAAGCTATTAAAATAAGAAGATCTTACTAGGTATAGACCCACACTTGAAAATTTAAATTTTAGAAAATGTTGAAATATTGATATTCTCTAAGGCTGACTGAAAAAAAACAAACATTTTTTTGGAAAGTTCTCAACAACACTACTCAAAATTTTCAAGCAACAGATTTCCAAAAATAAATAAATATAATAGTCCCTGTGACTACTGGACCGATTGTTGTCGAATATTGTGCGTATTTTACAAATACTTTGTAATAAACACTAACCTAAATTTGCCTAATCGTCCCCACCAACAACGTCTTGACGTCACCTTAAAATTTTGAATAATAAACTTCACTTAAATTGTATAAAATAATATAAAATTCAAGCCGGTTTTATGAACCACAATGTAGGAAACTTGCAGTTTATAAAACCGGTTTGATTTTTTACTCTAGGCATCCAGATTTTTGGAAAAACAAGGGCTTGCTTCGTTATTTCGTTCAGTATTCAAGTTATCTAAAGAAATACACGATGCTTTTACTAAATTATAAAATCCCTTATCTAAATGTCTTAAGAAAATGTGAAATAAATATCTTTTCAAAATTCTATTTTCCCGGCGCCTACACCATTTTTATGCAAATATTTAAAGTTGGTCAAATTGTTTCAAAAATACGTTATTATTGTCAGAAATTTTCCCAGCATCACGAATTGCAGTTATTTTTCTGTTATCTTATTAAATAAAGTAGAAAAAGGCATCTCTGTGCAAAAACAAACATCGTTTCTCAAAATTCTCCGAAAACAATTTGTTCACCTTACATAAAATTTGGGCTTGTTTCGTTATTTCGTTCAGAATTCAAGTTATGTAAAGAAATTAATGACACTTTCTATAACATAAAATCTCTTTTCTAAATTTCTTAAGAAAACGTGAAATAAATAGCTTTTAAAAATTAATTTTCTCGGCGCCTCCACCATTTTTATGCATATTTTTTAAGTTAGTCAAATTGTTTCGAAAATGCGCAATTATTATCAGAAATTTTCCCAGCATCACGAATTCGTAGTTATCTTTGTGATATCTCGTCAAATAACGGAGAAAAACGCATGTTTGTGCAAAAACAAACATCCTTTCTCAAAATTCTCTGAAAACAATTGTTTACCTTAGATAAAATTTGGACTTGTTTCGTGATTTCGTTCAGAATTCAAGTCATGTAAAGAAATTCATGATACTTTCTATAATATAAAATTTCTTTTCTAAATTTCTTAAGAAAACGTGAAATAAATAGCTTTTAAAAATTAATTTTCCGGCGCCTCCACAATTTTTATGCAAATATTTTACGTCTGTCAAATTGTTTCGAAAATGCGTAATTATTATCAGAAATTTTCCCAGCATCGCGAATTCCTAGTTATCTTTGTGATATCTCGTCAAATAACGGAGAAAAAGGCATCTTTGTGCAAAAAGAAACATCGTTTCTCAAAATTCTCCGAAAACGATTTATTTACCTTAGATAAAATTTTGGCTTATTTCGTTAATTCGTTCAGAATTGAAGTAATGTAAAAAAATTTATGAGACTTTCTATTATATAAAATTTCTTTTCAAAATTTCTTAGAAAACCGTGAAATAAATAGCGTTTAAAAATTAATTTTCCTGGCGCCTACACCATTTTTATGCAAATATTTTAAAATCGACAAATTGTTTGGAAAATACGTTATTATTATCAGAAATTTTTCCACAATCACGAATTTCTAGTTATCTTTGTCATATCTCGTCAAATAAAGGAAAAAACGGCATCTTTGTGCAAACAGAAACACCGTTTCTCAAAATTCTCTGAAAACAATTTGTTTATCTCAGATAAAATTTGGGTTTGTTTCATTATTTCGTTCAAAATTCAAGTTATCTAAAGCAATACACGATGTTTTCTATAATATAATATCCCTTATCTAAATGTCTGAAGAAAACGTAAAATAAATAACTTTTAAAAACTTATTTTCCCGGCACCTCCACAATATTTATGCAAATACTTTAAGTTGGCCAAATTGTTTCGAAAATGCATTACTATAATCATAAAATATCCCAGCATCACGAATTAGTAGTTATTTTTGTGATATATCTTCAAATAAAAGTGAAAAATGCGTCTCTGTGTAAAAACAAACATCCTTTCTCAAAATTGTCTGAAAACAATTGTTTACCTTAGATAAAATTTGGGCTTGTTTCGTTATTTCGTTCAGAATTCAAGTTATGTAAAGAAATTCATGATGCTTTCCATAAGATAAAATCTCTTTTCTAAATTTCTTAAGAAAACGTGAAATAAATAGCTTTTAAAAATTAATTTTTCCGGCGCCTCCTACATTTTATGCAAATATTTTAAGTTCGTAAAATTTTTCGAAAATGGGTTATTATTAACAGAAATTTTTCCAGCATCACGAATTCGTAGTTATTTTTGTGATATCTCGTCAAATAACGGAGAAAAAAGCATCTTTGTGCAAAAAACAAACATCCTTTGTCAAAATTCTCCGAAAACAATTTGTTTACCTTGGATAAAATTCGGGCTTGTTTCGTTATTTCGTTCAGAATTCAAGTTATTCAAAGAAATACACGATTCAATCTATAATATAAATGTCATTATCTAAATATCTTAAGAAAACGTGTAATAAATATTTTTTAAAAATTAATTTTCCCGGCGCATCCACTATTTTTATGCAAATATTTTAAGTTGGCCAAATTGTTTCGGTAATGCGTTATTATTATCAGAAATTTTCTCAGCATCACGAATTCGTTGTTATTTTGTGATTGTGACTGTGACTGTCAAATAAAGAAGAAAAAGGCATCTTCGTGCAAAAACAAATATAGTTTCTCAAAATTCTCCAAAAACAAATTGTTTACCTTGGTTAAAATTTGTGCTTGCTTTGTGATTTCGTTCAGAATTCAAGTTATCCCTCAGCTAGATTTCTTAAGAAAACGTGAATAAATATCTTAAAAAAAAAATTCCCGGCGCCTCCAACTTTTTTATACATATATATTTTAAGTTGGTTTGTTCAGAACTCAAGTTATTTTTATTTTTACCATTTAACTTTGTAACTGAAGAAGCGAATTCTCTGAAATCTTGTAAAGGTTTTAACATTATAGTAATCATAGTAAATCAAAATGTGTCAGTTCATCCCACCCCGAAAGAAAATATGCATGTGTATATTGTTTAGAAATTCTTAGAGGATAACTCTAAGTTTGTTTGTTTTCTTGATAAAATCAGGAACAAATCAGCCCATTTTCCAGAAAACTTATAAATACATTACTATTGTTAATAATTTTCTCCTTGGTGTAAAAATTATGCCGAAGTGTAGTCGAGGGTAAAAAGTTTTACACAATTCATTTTTTACCTATTATTAAATCTAAAACTGTAAAAAAATACTAATGTTACCTACTTTCTCAAAACATGCTCAATTGCTCATAGCTTGCTGTTCTTGAAAATGTTTACGTGATTAATATTTTGACGAAAAATCTAATGTAAACTGTATGCTATTTGATTTTTCATTAGATCCAAGTCTAGTAATATTTTGTGTTTTAGTAAAAGTTTCGTTGCTTTTGTTATAAAGTGATTTTTCAACAAAAAGGTGAAGTTGCTGACTAGATGTAAAATATTTATCTGAAAATTTGTATGCTTTCTTTGGAGTTACAATTGTTAATTCTCTTTTTACTAACTTCTTTTAGTAATTTTAGAGAATATATGTTTTTCCAAGGTAGTTGTTGTTTTACCTGGTTAAAAATGGGATACAAAGGAAACATTATCTGATATACTTAATTGAAATTAAGATTAATTGGGAAACAAATTACCTACACATTTAGATATCACTAACGTTATCTATTTTCTTCCTGCTTAAATAGTTATTATTATTTTTTAAGATGCATAAACCAACTCCCTCTAAAATTCTATGTTTTCGGTGCTTTTAATAAATTATATATAAAACCACATTCATTCAATTGAATTTTTCAAGCTCTGCCTTGAAGCGTGTGCTTTTGTTTACGCACATCGAGCTTTATTTTTGCAATCTGAATTCTGTCAATCATTTGCAAAATAGTTATATAAAATTGAATTGTGTCAGCTGTGTGTAAAATGCGAACGTGACATGCTGTGTGTATTTTAAATCAATCTTACGTTCTTCCCTTTATCATACATATTTTGTGTCGTTTTCGACAGTTTTTCTCTTAATTAAATGGATAATATAATTTTGTTAAAAAAAATTATACTAAACCACACAGTTCATGTAGTTTTCAATTTAATTACAGTGTCTCCATCAACTGCGACCCACTTCAGCTCCTAGTTACGCACTGTAATTATTAGTCTGTAATTAACAGCGATTGACCAGTAGACATCAATTACAGTAGTTCTCTGTTCCACACTAACCAGAACTAATTACATAAGGTCGAAAATAAAAGTCCACAAACGACGAAAATAAGCTTTATTAAAACAATGAGAGCAGTAATATTTAGAATCGTTGATAGTTACAAACAGTATTTACAATAGTACCAAAGACTGTTCAAAAGGATACAATATAAAAAAAGTGAACAATCTCAGTATAAACAACGAGTGTTGCAAGTCCAAACAGATCAGTTGTGTTTTTATATACAATACAAGAATATTCCTTTTTCGTAAAATTTTTAAAATAACGTGAAAGACGTGGAACACTTAAAATCCATGCTTAAAAAAAGTAAAATCAGCCTTCGTTTATTCGTTATTGAATGGTACACGACGAACTGTGATCGACGACGCATTCACCTGGGTAGTCGATATCCTCCTCAAAGTCGAAGTAATGGCACTGAAACAAAAATTAAATTAATTTTTACGAACGTCCGCAGCGCAGAGAGACGTTTATTTAGTTATTTTTCAGGATATTGCACTAAAGTGCCGAATCGATTCAGCTAAATGCGTGGGTTGCTTGAAAGAAATATTGCCATTAAGTCGACAGGTGGGATCGAAATTTAATCATGTTCTCATGAAATAAGGCGGAGATTTTGTGTTTGTTTTCGTTCTTTATTTTTAATGTAGGAGTAAGGCACGCTGTGATGATTTCATCAGTGGACTTTATTACGGAAAATTTTGCCAATACTGGAGGCTCTTTGTGAACTTTGGATCCTCTGGGGACTACTTTAAAGTTGCAATTTCTAACGAGGATTTTCAGTCAAAGTTTCACAAATTTTAAGTTTAATTAAAAAATATCGTGAATACGTAAAGCAAATCAAGAAAATCGTGGAAAGTTAAATATGAAGCTGACGTCTTTTCATGGAGATGCTTTGACTTAAAGAAATTTTTAAGACGGTTGTACAGTAAAACAGTGTTTTTTCCATTTTCAGTTTTAAATCTGTCTAATTAATTGAGTGAGTTAATACTACTTTCAGTTTGTTTTAATTAAACTAGTCCACCTTGAGTTTTTTAAAAGCATTTATTTTTTTAGTATTATATAATTTAAATATTGGGTGATTTTTTAAATTTTTACTCTAGTTGACCATCACGCTTACGTCGACCGTTTCAGTTGCACTGCTGACGTACTCGTCATGGCCAACTTCGCCGTTACGATATTTGTTCTAATAAACACGGAAAGCGAATTCAAAATTTTCAAAAAATTTCCAAAAAAAAACGGTTAAAATTGCTTCAATCGATTGAAAATTGGTGTCAAATTTTTGATAATCTTCCGCCAGTTACGAATCTGAAATCGCCGTCACCATATCTGTTCGATTAAACACAAAAAGTAAGTTGAAAATTTTCAAAAATGTTCCAAAAAAATGGTTAAAATTGATTTAATCGACCGAAAATTGTTGTCAGATTGTAGATAATGTTCTGTCAGTTATACATCTGAAGTCGCCATCGCTATATTTGTTCAGATAAACATAGTGAATTCAAAAATTTCCAAAAAAAAGTGGTTAAAATTTACTCAATCGACTGAAGATTGTAGATAATCTTCCACAAGTAACAAATCTGAAATCGCCGTCACGATGTCTGTTCCAATAAACAGCAAAAGTGAATTCAAAAATTTCAAAAATGTTTCCAAAAAATGGTTAAAATTTGCTTAACCAACTGAAAATTGGTGTCAAATTGTAGATAATCATCCGCCAGTAACAAATCTGAAATCACCGCCACGATATCTGTTCCAATAAACGCGAACAGTGGATTCAAAATTTTTAAAAAATTTACAGAAATATGGTTAAATTTGGTTCAATCCATCGATAATTGGTGCCATACTGTAGATAAACTTCCGCCAGTTGCTAATTTGAAATCGGAGTCAGGATATCTGTTCAAATAAACACGAAAGGTGAATTCAAAATTTCCCAAAAATTTTCCAAAAATGGTTAATATTGGCTCAATCAATCCAAAATTGTTGTCAAATTGTAGATAATCTTCCGTCAGTTAAATATTTGAAACTGTACACAACAATAAATACAAAAAGTGGTTTCAAAATTTTTAAAAAAATTCCAAAAAATGATTACAATTGCTTCCATAGAGCAAAAATTGGTGTCAAATTGTAAATATTCTTTTACAAATCTGAAACCGTCGTTACGATATCTGTTTCAATAAATACAAAAAGTGTGTTCAAAAGTTTCAAAAATATTCTAAAGAAATGGTTAAAATTTGCTTAATCCACTGAAAATTGGTGTCAAATTTTCCGCTAGTTACAAATCTGAGATCCCAGTAATGATATCTGTTTCAATAAAAACGCAAAGTGTATTCAAATTTTCAAAAAAAATTCCAGAAAAATGGTCAAAATGTGTTTAATCGACTGAGAATTGATGTTAAATTGTAGATAATCTTCGACCAATTAGAAATCTAAAAATCGCTATCACGATATCTGTTGCAAGAAACACGAAAAGTGAATTTAAAATTTTTAAAAATATTCCAAAGAAATGGTTAAAATTTGCTCAATCGACTGAAAATTGGTGTCAAATTGTAGATAATTTTCCGCCAGTTATAAATCTGAAATCGCAGTAATGATATCTGTTCCAATAGACACGAAAAGTGCATTCAAATTTTCAAAAAAAAAATCCAAAAAATAGTCAAAATAGGTTCAATCGACTGAGAATTGGTGTCAAATTGTAAATAATCTTCGGTCAATTACAAATATAAAAGTCGCTGTCACGATATCTGCTGCAAGAATCACGAAAAATTAATACAAAATTTTCAAAAGTTTTCTAAAAAAATGGTTAAAATTTGCTGAATCGACTGAGAATTGGTGTAAAATTGTAGATAATCTTCGGTCAATTACAAATCTTAAAATCGCTGTCACAATATCTGTTGCAAGAAACACGAAAAGTGGATTAAAAATTTTCAAAAATTTTCCAAAAAAATGGTTAAAATTTGCTCAATCGACCAAAAGTTGGTGTCAAATTGTGGATAAGCTACCGCCAGTTATACATCTGAGCTCGCCATCACGATATTTGTTCAAATAAACACGCAAAGTGGATTCACAAATTTTCAAAAAAAAAAGGTACTTAAAATTTGCTCAATCGACTGAAGATTGGTATCAGATCGTAAATAATCTTCCATAAGTAACCAATCTGAAATCGCCGTTACGATATCTGTTCCAATAAACAGGAAAAGTGAATTAAAAAATTTCGAAAATTTTTCAAAAAAATGGTGAAAATTTGCTTAATCGACTGAAAATTGGTGTCAAATTATAGATAATCATCATCCAGTAATAAATCTGAAATCGCCGCCACGATATCTGTTCCAATAAACACGAAAAATAGATTCAAAATTTTCAAAAACTTTCGAAAAATATGGTTAAATTTGGTTCAATCGATCGATAATTGGTGTCAAATTGTAGATAAACTTCCGCCATTTGGTAATCTGAAATCGGCGTCAGGATATGTGTTCCAATAAACACAAAACATGAATTCAAAATTTCTAAAAATTTTTCAAAAAATGGTTTAAATTTGTTCAATCGACCGAAAATTGGTGTCAAATAGTAGATAATCTTCAGGTAGTTATAAATATGAGATCACCATCACGGTATCAGATCACGAAATGTGAAAATTTTCAAAAATTTTCCAAAAAAATGGTTAAAATTTGCTGAATCGACTGAAAAGTGGTGTCAAATTGTAGATATTTTTCCACCAGATACAAATCTGAAATCCCAGTAATGATATATGTTCCAATAAACACGAAAAGTGCATTCAAATTTTCAAAAAAATGGTCAAAACGGGTTCATCGACTGAGGCTTGGTGTCAAATTGTAGATAATATTCGGTCAATTACAAATCTAAAAATCGCTGTCACAATATCTGTTGCAAGAAATACGAAAAGTGGATTAAAAATTTTCAAAAATTTTCCAAAAAAATGGTTAAAATTTTCTCAATCGACTAAAAGTTGGTGTCAAATTGTGGATAATCTTCTGCCAGTTATACATCCGAGCCCGCTATCACGATATTTGTTCAAATAAACACGAAAAGTGAATTCACAAATTTTCAAAAAAACCGTGGTTAAAACTTGCTCAATCGACTGAAGATTGGTATCAGATCGTAAATAATCTTCCATAAGTAACAAATCTGAAATCGCCGTCACGATATCTGTTCCAATAAACAGCAAAAGTGAGTTCAAAAATTTCGAAAATTTTTCAAAAAAATGGTGAAAATTTGCTTAATCGACTGAAAATTGGTGTCAAATTGTAGATAATCATCATTCAGTAACAAATCTGAAATCGCCGCCACGATATCTGTTCCAATAAATACGAAAAATGGTTTCAAATTTTTCAAAAATTTTCGAAAAATATGGTTAAATTTGGTTCAATCGGTCGATAATTGGTGTTAAATCGTAGATAAACTTTCGCCACTTGCTAATCTGAAATAGGCGTCAGGATATGTGTTCTAATAAACACAAAACATGAATTCAAAATTTCTAAAAATTTTTCAAAAAAATGGTTTAAATTTGTTCAATCGACCGAAAATTAGTGTCAAATAGTAAATAATCTTCAGCTAGTTATAAATCTGAGATCACCATTACGATATCTGTTCAAATAAACACTAAAGGTGAAATCAAAATTTCCAAAAATTTTCAAAAAAATGGTTAATATTGGTTCAATCGAGCCAAAATTGTTGTCAAATTGTAGATAATCTTCCATCAGTTACGTATCTGAAATTGTCATCACGATATCTGTTCCAATAAATACAAAAAGTGGTATCAAAATTTTCAAAAATTTTCCAAAAAAATGGTTAAAATTGCTTCCAGGGAGCAAAAATGGGTGTCAAATTGTAAATAATCCTCCGACGGTTACTAATCTGAAACTGCCGTTACGATATCTATTCCAATATACACAAAAGTCAGTTCAAAATTTTCAAAAATATTTCAAAAAAATGGTTAAAATTTGCTTAATCGGCTGAAAATTGGTGTCAAATTGTAGATAATCTTCGGTCAATTATAAATCTAAAAATCGCTGTCTCGATATCTGCTGTAAGAATCACGAAAAGTGAATTCAAAATTTTCAAAAATTTTCCAAAAAAAATGGTTAAAATTTGCTCAATCGACTGAAAATTGGTGTCAAATCCTAGATAATCTTTTGCCAGTAACAAATCTGAAATCCCGTCACGATATCTGTTACAATAACTCGAAATGAATTCAAAATTTTCAAAAATTTTCCAAAAGAAAAAGACTAAAACGTATTATAACTTACTGTCAATTTGTGTTATTGGATTTCGTTATTAAAAATATAAAAACTAGTTCAGAGGAAATTTTCAGAGGAAAATTGGAAGATATTTCCCACGTAATTTTCATAAATCATGGAAACAGAATCTGTTTTAAATGAATTTGAGAACTACGAAAACTGTAAGTT